CCACGTCCGTGAGCCGTCCCGAACGAAGATTTGTCGACGAGTTTTTCTTCAACTTTAAGTGACACATGCTTGATTCGAATATGTATTCAATATTGCGATGACGATGCACTTATCAAAGGTTCATCCGGTGTTTTATAAAAGCTGACAGCACAAATGCATCAAAGCTCCAGGGTCACATTTTTTTAGCCATATTCATTTCAAGAAGATTGTGAAAGAGCGTCGAAATTGACACATCAATCTTACGCAGTATTTTAATGAATCTTCTATTTCGACGACATATTTTGGCTCCCGTGTTTCTTGATTGGCAGTGCCGCTCCAGTCTAAAAATTTCCGGCTCAGCACAATGTCATGGTCCTTTTATGTCCACGGGGATGATTTTCATGCTTAGTATGGCATGATTGTCTACTGAAAAAAAACTAGGCTCTTAGCATTCATCAACCCCCTTTTTGGGATGTGTCACGCACTTCGCTTTCATTCGGACCCACACTGGCAATTGAATGCAGTTGGGCCTTTACATGGCTTGTGAGCCGGTTTTCATATCGGCAAGTGTTTTTATCTATGCAGACAAGTCCGGAGCGGAGCTTACCAACGACCGGGACAGAAACCTTGGTTGGGCTGGTGAGGTTCGTTCCAGGATTTGACTCCAAACCATTCTAGGGTCAGCCGGCTTTTTGATAAGTGCTTGTATGAATAACACTTTGGTAGCACATAGGTGGAATATGGGATGCATGGCGCATCCGAACGGGAGATTGATCAGCACTTCATACTTCTTATACTTTTTGGAAACGAAACGTGTTTATCATATGAATTAATAAGTAATACTATCTTAATAACAATGTACAACAAAATAGTAATAATAGTAGTAATAATAGTGAAATAAAAATAAAATATAAATATTAATGATAATTTAAAAGGCTCTTTCTGATAACCGCCACATCTTGCAGACAACGGCTAGCCTTTATTCTGGCTAGTGTTTACATCCTAACACTAAGCAAATCCATCACCAACCAGTTTACCCTGGCGAAGGGAATGAGTGGCAGACCTGGGTAAGATTCGTGCTTCACAGTATTGGCGCCTCCTTCCGCCACACCATTCACTAATTGAACGGAATGACCAGCTTTGTATTTTCATGGGAAAAAGTGGTGAAGATAAGGAAGCTCTTTACCCTGGGCAAGAGTTTACCTGGGGGATCCAATTCCACCCTTGCAGAATACATCTTCTAAATTACATCCGTTTCCAAGGCAAAAGTAACTCGAATTCGTTATCCACTGAGCCCGATAAGGATTGATTGGGTCAAATATGTACAACTTGGTTTTATGGTTGTTAATTGGGCCGGGTGCGTGGCGCACTCTCAAGAGCTGAGTAATTGACCGACTACTTTCTAAAAAAATTAGTAAAGGGTAAAGGCAAAGTTCGGGCTCAGACCCACTAAGAAGCCCTTACCATGGCTAGAAGTGCTGGGTACGCAAGTGCAAAGGTAGCGCCACCTTTCTACATCGAAACGCGTCACTAGGACCCTAGGCGCCATGGACTTCTAACAGACTCCACCAAACTTAACATGGTCCGCCCACCGTTCGATATCTTGTCTGCGTCGCGTTGATCTGCTATGCTCTCTCTTCTCGGACTTCTCTACCGCTCTCCGCGCTCACATTATCTCTCATCTCCCTGCCGGCCTTTTGAACTTCTCCGCAGCGTAGAGCAAAAGGCTCGTATTTCCTGTGTATTTCACGATTTTCTTTCCTTTTTTCTCCACGGCGGTCCACCTCCCATCCCTACTTTCACATTTGAGTGGAATGATCGTATCAATTCAATTCCGAATCTTGCCTTTATCCGGAATCTATATCCTGTGTTCAGCTTGCAAATTTCCTTTTTCTTATAAGTTGATCATCACTAGCATTCTAGATATAGCGCAGATCTCTGATTCGTCTTGCTTCTTGCATGTTCTATCCTTTTTCTGCGATTCTGATATGTCTTATCTCGCTCGCTCCTATTAGCCGCCCGGGGCTATTCGTCATATGGCCTGATTTCATTTGGGACAAATGATGAGGCAATCATCAGAAGTATCACGCTGACGAGGAAGAGATTGCCGCGATGAACTTGTGATTGAAATTCCCTTGACGAAAGGATCTATTGGTGTAGATCTCCTTGAAAACTGCAAAATGTTGCTGAAGCGCTAAGTTGACACTTCAGGGACCAAATACATGTATTTCCGGCAACGATTGGCTGTTCAAGGATGAGCCACGCATCCGGTTTCCGTTCAAAATCGTCGAGGCACTGAGTGTTGTTTACCAAGTGGCCTACGGGAACCAGTGGTTTTATATTAGTGTTTCATCCTACCAGGCGTTCTCTACATTCATGGCTCTGGTTGGCGGACCCCGAAGAGAAAAGTGCTAGCATCGGGGTTCAGTCCATGTACAGATAGCGGCACCCCTCATCGCACTTTGATAAAATTGGGAAGTAGATCTCGTTCGTGAAATACAGTGTTGCGTTGGTTGGACCCAATCTTATGTCTTTTTAGGCTTTGCTTGTTGTCTTAGTTTCCACCGTACCCACAATTTTTGCTGAGTTTCCAGAAGCATCCGATTACCTGTGGATTTCTGAAGTGTAGCGGGGTACATGGCGTATCCCGTGGGAGCTAGTTACAAGATACCTAGAATGGTGACTACTGGCTTTCTTGAAGTTCCGTCCTAAATCCATAACTATGATGCTATTACGACCGCTATACTCGGCTGAGTAGGTGTCGATTTTTCACCCGAAAATTAGTTTATGGACTGGGTTGCCCATATGTACGCGAATATTATATGTGTAGTTTGTTGTTGTTGTTGTCGATTGGCAAACGAGAGACATGAATCGAATTTGGCACGCGACCAACTGTGAATGAAGTGAATGAGGCAAAACAGCGATCATCACTGGAATTGGATCAGGGCACTGCTGAATGCTTTCAACGAGTGGTGAAGTAGATGAAAAGGGGAAGTTTATTGGGTAAGAACTACCCCGCTTGCCAAAAAAATCGAAAATGAAAAATCAGAAAAAAATAGAGAACCTAAATAAGCCCGGCTTTCTTCAGCTGTTCTCCAGATCTCGATCTATAGGACTGATTTGAATTTTTGGAAGGAAGTGCCACACACACAAAAAAGAATGACATGGATGTGGTACAAAAGCGTAACACGCCGTCCCATGTGGCCTACAAGGCGTGATACATCATGGCACCACAATCTCCCCAAGGCGTTATTCAACTGTCACTTTGGTGATCGAACCTAATACGTATTCAGATGAACAAATTTGATGGACTCTGTTTTTTTTTTCTCTATACCGCAGTGATTTTAAGTGAGAGCTGAAAGCCTGATCACACTCTTTAACCTCTTTGGGCTAAAGTTAAAGAAGATGTAAGATTTCACGTCTGTCACGCGAATCGCAAGTGTCACACGGCCGCAACGCGGCTCGCTACCGGTCGGCCTAAACAGTGACGTAGCGCGCTTGTCCAGTGAGCCAAAAGCAAAAAGTTCAGGTTCGAGTCTCGTCCAGGGCGAAAGTTTTGTTCAAAACTTAGCATTCTTGTGAAACAGTCAGAAATCCTGGCGGAGGCAAATCCTAACAGCATCTCCTACATCTCACCACTAATGATCGAATTGCTTGCTCTGCGGCACGACTCGCAACAATCGCGCGACATTCGCAAAGTCTGACATTCGCCTAACAGGAAGGATAAAGGGGTTTTTCCATGAGATCTAAATAAGTCTGACGTGCATTTGAGGTCGGTCTTTTCAGCATGATTCCGATCAAGACGTAGAGAAACTTTTGACAACCTCAGGTAATGAAACAATCAAATTTTGCTCACAGTGCTTGAGCTCATTGCAATGCGCCATGCACCGATTAGACGCGTAGATTATGTAGGCAGCGATGGTACATGTTTCACATTTGTATCGAAAAGGGTTGAAATCTCAGTAGGAGTGCACTCTTCCAGTCAGTGACTCCTGGGAACATTTTTCTTCACCATCATCTAGTCAGTTGTCATCCAAGTTCCGACGTTCCGTTGATCGCCATTTAGTGCATGCTTCATTTTCAGACGCCCACGTGAAGAATGAAATGAACGCCACGTGGTTCGCCGACGGCCCGATACGATATAATCCAGAGATCGGTCTACCAGAATACCATATCATATCACTAGAACATGACTATTGCAATGGCGTCTTTCACTATACGATCACGCCAAACTCGTCCAGAGTCGGTGAGCTCCGGGTTCCAATAGCGTGAGCTTCAGTCGTTGCTTGATCCATTTAAATCAATTTTATGGCGAGGAACAGGTACGCGGGGTTCTACAAATGGTAACGTTTGACTAAAAAAAAAGGACCAAAAAGCCTAAGCTAACGAAGCTCATATATCATCTTCATGAAGAACTCAAATAAAACCACAATCATAGAGAAAAAAGCAGCCAATTCGCGAGATGTAGTGGTTTTGAGGCGAACAGGACTTTGATCTTTCTACCTCCCTTGCTAGGGGCGGACAGCTGGTCCGTAGCGGCAAGTGCTGCTTACCACGCGAGCGGTCCGGGGATCAAATCCTGGGTCGTGAGTCGCCCGGGCCAACCAAGCCTTCCATCCCTCCGGGGTCGGTTAATTGGTACCAGACTTGTCTGGGAGGATAAAAACACTGACTTGTACATCGGCTGGCCCCCGCAAGTCATTGTATAGGCCACATCGCATTCAAACGCCACTGCGAATGTACAAATGGAAGTAGAATGCGTGCCGCATCCCAAAAGGGATTGATCAACGGCAAATGCTTTATCCTTTTTTATCCTCCCCCCCTCTTTGCTGTCTCGTCGCCCATCAAAGAACGCTTTTCGAAAGTCTCTGAAAAGCCTGATCGAATTTTCCCGTATGAGTGTGTAGGAAAAGTGAATGCATTTGTGAAAACTCGATTCGGATTTCACTACCATGCGATATTTTTGGAATACGCTCGAATCTATCTCAGTTGTTTTCGTTTTCAGGCGACTTCAGCTGTTTATTAGGAATGATCAATTTGAAACGTGCAATCGGTTTTCATTTAGTACAGGTTAGCGCACTTGGTCTCACGAATTAGTCGAGCTGGCTTACTGTAATTTCTGGCTTACGGTAAACCACTGAAAGAGGCTTGCTTTTCAGAGTTACATCCCCACTGGGTTGATCGTAGCGATTTCGTGGGTATCGTTCTGGATTGACCGGCGAGCGGTTCCAGCTCGGGTATCGTTATCGTTCACAACTTTGCTAACGCTTAGCACTCAGGTTCGTTTGACCTTTTTTATCGCGAAATAATCAATCAATAACCATGAAATTAATCGATACAGTCCGTCTGCAGTTTTGACAATCCCAAGTATTGAACAACATGAAATTCACTCGATTTTTCTGAAGATTCCATTTTTCACACCTCATGCCAATCTGTGATTCACACTTATCCTAAAAATCGACAAGCGATCTCCTTAGGCCATTTCGCGTACTCCTTTTCACATGCATGGAATTTGCGGTCAGAATCAGAACACTAGAGCAAAATGTATGCGTCCCTGCCCTCATGCTCATGTGATGTTTGAGGATATGAGAATTTCAAGGAATCAAACCTTCATATGTATTCAGGGAAATGGCATCAGATACGCATTGCCTCCCGTCTCGTACGCGAAGGCTATCGATTATTTCTATGGAGGTGAGTCATTAGGTTCGAAGTGTCTCGTAGATGACGCACTTTCTTCCACTTGTTCAATTCAGTTCATTTCTGAGCCGTTGAGAGCTGTATTTTACCCAATAAGCTTTCCCATTTTTAATTTTCCAACAAATTGCTATGATCGCTTGATGATTGCTTATGATTGCTAATTGATTTAGTACCTAATGATTTCATTGATCCGATTATCAATCGATATCACTTTTCCAGTGTGTATGCTCTTCATATTTGGTGTCCTACTGGAGTTCGCCATGGTGAACAGTTATATGCGACGTGCTAATAAATATAACATTATGGCAGAAAAACTGCAAGCCGGTTATGGCCACAAACATGCAATTTGTAAGTGTCCCAAAAATCTTGCATCAATCAATAATCCGGTCCATCAGTATTCATTTCACAGTTCCAGCAACGGCCGAATATGACTCCGAATACGATGAGGGTCCGCTATCGATAAAGCAGAACTTTGGCAAGAATTCCACTAGTCTGATGTACAAGGCGTTACGGTACTCGCGAAGGGCACTGGCAATCGATAAAGCGGCTCGGTTTGCATTTCCATGTAAGTTTTATAAGAGCTCTATGTTGTTATTCTGGCAGTACCATCCATTTTGCCGCCACTGCGTGGCGAAATCGGTGCTAACTCAGTTAGGGGGAGGGAGCACGAGACCGCGCGGCGCTCTGTTCGTCTGCGCTCTCTCGGCGGAAAAGGCAGTGCCACTATATTTCAAAACGGCGAGATAATTAAGTCTC